CCAGCGGGGATGTACGTGCATACGGGCCTAAAAGCATTCTTCCACGGACCCACCCGATTTGGATTTGATCCCAATCAGTGGTTTTTGTTTTTGTTTTCTAACGCTGACAAAAGTACATTCAGTAGCTGAAAACCCTTGCAAGTATTAGATGAAACTGCAAATTTTACTGTAGAACGTTTTGAGAACAGATACGTACCTTCTTATGCTTCTTTGATTTCTTCTCCTTCTTCGACTTCTTCTCATAATCAGATTCATCGGTACTCGATCGATATTTGCGCCTGCTGGCCTTCTTCTTTTTTCTGTTAAAAAAACACATTGACAAAAATTCAAAACAGAAAAACTACACGAAAAATTCACTAACCTTTCTTCTTCGGATGATGATGTGGACGAGGTGCTCGGACTGCGCTTGCGCTTGCTGCTAGAAGTCGTTTCGGTGAATCGTCTCTTCACAGGTGATCTCGACCTCGATCTGCTTCTGCTCTTTCTTCTACGCCTTTCTCGCTCCCTTTCTTCAGCTCGTCGGCGCTCTCTAAAACTACCAGCGTCAAGCTACCAAAGTAACGAACACATGGAGGTTGAACCCTGCTTACCTTTCCTTTGCTCTCTCCTCATCTCGCCTCCTTTCGCGTTCTCTCTCCTCGGCACGTCTCTTCAACCTTTCTTCTTCCCTCTTCTTCGATTCTTCCTCCCTTTTCCTCTCATCTTCTATGCGCTGCTGTCTGCGTTGTTCACGTTCTCTGTCGCGTTCTCGGTCTCGATCCCTTTCCCTTTCGCGATCCCGATCTCGCTCGTCATAAGCTCTCTGGAAAGTAAAGAATGAGAAGCGTGGAAGAGCAAAAAATTTGGAACCAACCCTTCTAGGCGGTGTGTCATCACCACGATTTTCTCTGCGCCGTCGAGGAGGTGTGCCACCTCGAGGGCTGATTTTAGTAATACGATCGTCGGGGACTTCCTTCTCTTTCGTGGGACCTGTGTAGCGACCACCGGATAACGAGCTGTACCTGCAAAAGCACAGTTCTCAGTAAAAGTAAAGCGAAGCTACACTTATAAGGTGTAGTTTTTAGAATTGCTTCTAAATTCTCTGAAAGCAGCGTTCGGGCACGTTTCTGACACTTCAGTCTCAACGGTTTACTGAGCGAGCTGCCCATGAAAACCACAGCCCGGCTGCGACCGCAAGAAAAGCTTTGCAAGCGAGAAAATTGCTTCAGAAGTCTAAACATCTACGCCCCTCGATCCTTACCATAACAGAAAATCGTGAAACGGCCATTGCGGCAGTGACACTGTGCAACTATGTACCGCCACGATTTCACCTGCGGTAAGGACCGCAGATCGTATATGTTTAGAGCGATT